GGGGGAGGGGTCAGTGAGATCGGCAGAAATCGAGGATCTGTCAAGTTGGCACGACATACGAAGAAACACTAAAGTGTAACACTTTTCATAATTCATAACTCCTTATAAATATTAAAAAAAGTTGCGCATTTTTTATGTCAAAAAATAAAAAAATGGAAAACGTACTAATTTCGCAAATCTAGCACACCTCTCTTCCTTCCTATGAATTACAAGAAATAACAACATGTATATCATACTTATTATTCGAGGAAAAATATCGTGCTGGTTATTTACTTCAATTCTAGCGACAATTCTCGTTAGTTCTAGCCGAGTTTTACGTTTTAAAATTATTTTTAAACTCTGCTAGAATTAAGAGAATTGTCGCTGAAAAACTGCTGTAAATAATCAGTAGACCATTTTTTTACAATGTGCTGGCTTCTTAATTAAAAAAATTATTTAAAGATCCATAGCTACTGGACTTTTACTTGAAAATAATTGTAAAGAATAGAATTCTGCTAGAACTAACAAGAATTGTCACTAGAACTAATAATAATCAATAATAATCAACTAATAATAATCAATTTTTTCAACTCTTTTTCTTTAAAGATCGTGTATATATAATATTTTAAATATATGAAAAATTGATAAATTTTTAAATCCTGATTTCAAGTTATATTAAATGATGCAATAAAACTAACAAGAACTGTTTGCCAAAAAATAATAATATTTATTATATTATTGTTATACTTTAGAGGAGAAGATATCATATTAGATTCGCGTTATTAATTAATTAGAATGACATTTTTTCATTTTTAATTTTTTTTATATAAAAAATGCGGCATTTAATAATTATAAGAAAAAATAAAAATTCGTGCAAAATATCGTGCTAACTTCACAGATCCAAATATCTTTTATGCGCGCGCGCGAGCTTATTGATTATTGAGACTATTTAATTTATGATGCGGAAGATGTTCCGTTTGTTTCTCGATCTGGCAAGGTGGTAGCACGAAAGGTATTCCATTGTTCTTTTATATACTTTGATAAGGAATTGTTTAAATGGGGTTAGCAATTAGTTATGTTTATCACAGGAAAGCAGTAGTAAAAAGTAGTGCTAATATCTTTTGAATTTCCTAAAGATAACTACGTTTCCTTGGAAAAACATTTTCTTGCTGTCTTCAATGTATCGCATTTATATATTTTTATACTTTCCAACACAAGCAGATTATTAAATTATTTCTCATAACTCATTTTAAGAAAAGATTCTATTTGAATTTTTTTCTGCAAATAATTATTGAATTTTTATTAAATTTCTAATAAATCTCCGACTCATTTTAATTTTGGTAATCGTATTTATTATCATCTTTATCAATAATTATAATTTTCGTTCATTTTGAACTGCTTTTCAATAGTTCGAAGATCGGTATTTCCTTTGCAATGGATATTAAACCCACCACGCTATCGATCATTCTCCCTTATCGCTGAGTCGGATCACTTTAAAGAATGTCTGTGGGAGATTCAATCTAACTACAGAAACGTGTTCTCAATGTGTGGTTCCTAAGATCGACCCAGATCCCAAGCATCGTATGTATACACGTCCGTATTTACAATCATCAGTTACGACTGTTTGAAATTCAACATTTACATGTCAGACAAATTGTCCAGAATTGGGAAATCACGTCTGACCAGATTATATGCGCTTTAATCCCTTCCAGGAATTCTAATGAGCAAGATAAAATTCAAATTAGACTGACAAATTCATACATAAATAGTACTAAATTTTTTGATAATTGTTAACTTGATTTGATAATGAAGATTCCTTGCTTAATAAAGGCTTAGAAGCATACTAATGTTATTTATTCACGCGCGTACATTCAGCGATGTGATTTTGACAATTGGCAGCGATAAAAAATTTATCTGCTTATGTTTGCAGTATGTAAATACAACATAGCTGTGTTGTACGCGAAATTCTTAGTCACGGACCGCTGGGAAACAGACACGTGGTTAGAACCGCGTTTTCTTACCACGAAGTTGTTAGTGACACTTTTCCAGCGGACGATTTATACGGACTGCTCGATAAATTAACAAGAGTGCATGGCGCAGCCTGTCGCGAGCGGAATTTTCATGATGATGTAAGACAACGCGAATTTTCTTTTTAACCGTCGTATCTCGAAGTGTTAAATAATCCGTTGCGCAGAATATTACGTCGCGCCGAACGCAAGTATGTTTGCAGCGAAAAGATATAATGTCCGTACAGTGGTTGACACATATTGCACATGGTTGCATAGCTGCAAGTTTTGCAGAGAAATTGAATGTGAATAAAGAGATTTAGAAATAGACGCGGAGTATGTTTAATATATCAAAATATCATCCAACATTAAGTATTTTTATAATTTTATTACAAAGGATTATCATCATATTATGTAGAAGAAGTATATAATATAAGTATGATAATTAGATAGTAGATGAGGTAATAAATAACATGACAACTTAACTTAATGTAATTCTATATTTTTCAAAATATTTATCTTTTTATATCTTATATTTAGCTTAAAAATGATTATTTAAGTTATA